TAATTGCCTGGAAACCGTTGATGATTGTAGTAGCACGGAGAGTTTGAACGTAGAGAGATTTTTAAAATAACGATTTCACCAGATTATATACTCTCCACCAGAAACAGTAACTAACGTCTATCTAGATAGCTGCAGTATAAACTATAGGTTGGCTCTGTGGATATTAAAGGAACGCACATATGTATAGGCACGTGACCGAGTGGTTAGAACATTCGCTTTCTGACCAGGAAACCCGGGTTCGAAGGTCAACATAGTCGATTTATCGGCTTCCTGCTGTTATCGGTTTGGAGGTGGCGATTCCTTTGGAAAGTGCCTGAAAACACATGGTTAACCCAAGCCTTGTAAGGGAAATTCAGTAGACGGTACCCTTGGTGGCCGTCGATGGCTGTGCTAGAACAAGTCATCGTGAGGGTTTGAGTGTGTTGGCCTTTGTTCAGATTGTTGATCACGTTAGACAGCACGCTCTCTACACGAAACTGTAACTAAGGCCTGCTCAGAATAGTTGCAGTGTAAACCACAGTTGGGCTTTATGGATGTAGGACAAACACAAATGCGCCTGAGCGTCTGCAATAGGGATTGGCTAGCCGCCCTAGTAGAGGGGTATCTATGGTTACGAATGGCCATCTATTATGTACGCATGTATGTATGGACGTGGGCGCGTAGCCTTGTGTTTAGAAAATTCAATTTCCGACCATGACATCCAGATGAATTAATGGTGTTATTGGCATGGGGAGTTGAGCCCAGCGTGCTGTACCATTGGAAGCTGTCTGAAAAGCACACCACGGATTGAACCAAGCCTTGTGAATGAAATTGGGTAGACGTAATTGTTCGGAAGCCGTCGAAGGTGGCGTGAGTACGAAGTTAGAAGTCATTGTAATTTGAGCGTATTGATCTTGCTCAAGTACTGATCAGGCCAGATTATGCGTTCTCTCCAAGAACTTGTTGCTGGTGTGTGCTCAGTGTAGTTTCACTTTAAACCGTTGTGCTTTGAACCAACAAACTTGCCCGAGATAGCTTAGCTGTCCTAGCAGACGTATGTGCTCGGAAACAAGTAACCGGCCACTATTCTATTTCTTAAGTATGTGTATAGAGGAAATGCGTTTAGGGTAATGATTATTCGAGATGAAAATGAGTTCAAATTCCGATCTAGTATGTTGGATTCATTTTATACTATACCCTTGGCAAAGGCATGGTCCATATTTTCTTCCACTTAAGTTAAATTAGTAGAGTAGATTGGGTTCTATAGCCTGGGATGGCCACCAGTCTAGGAGAAAGAATACTCGTAATTTAAAACTACTCCACTACCTTTCCCAAGACGTCAGGACAATAAAGAAGAGTAATATGTGGAGAGCAGTGATCGTTTGCGTCTTAAAGGGAGATAACATTAAAAATGCATGTATGGTGATTTTTAAACGTCACGGGAGGTAATTAAGTTCTGAAATGTACATATATTTTGTTTTTTAAAAATGAAAACACTATAAGTTAAAACCTACATATTTTAAAAACCTAGATATTTTAAACTATCTGCTGTAAACATTTTAACAGATTTGTGCAGTATTCATAATTAATTTATTAAGGGTTGGTTGAGGAACAAATAAGATGCTGTATTAAATTTTAATACAAAACAAATACAATATAAAACTTCTTCAATTAACCCTAAACATATCAATATTTTATATCGCAATCAAATACATTCTAATTATAAACAAAACGAAAATATCCCCCCAAAATAAATACTAATATATCTACCACAGATCCAAGTGAAAAAATGAAATTAATTATATGCTATACTAAATTCAATATGTCCAATTTAATCATTCGTAGTGACTCCTCCCCAATAACTAATGTGTTGCAGAAAACCAACACTGTATATAAATTTAAATGTCCGTTGGTAAATTGTATCATGAACAGAAAAAAATTATATATATGTTGGTAATACTACTACTACGTTATCTCGACGGTTGAGTTTTCATTTAAATAAAGCATCAAACATGTCACAACTTTTATAACAGCATGCCTGTTCACATTCGCAATTTAAGGAAATTCTTGTTGAAAATACGTCCATATTTTTTTTTGAAAATAATAAACATAAACTAAAAATTCTTGAAGCTATCTATATTAAAGAACTGAAACAAACTCTTAATAAAATTAATTATGAATACTGAACAAATTTAAAAATGTTTTAAAATGTTTACACTAGATAGTTTAAAGTATCAAGGTTCTAACTAATATTTTTTTCTTTTCTTTAAAAAAAAAAAAACATAGACATTTCAAAACTTTGTTACCTCCCCTGACATTTACATCGTGAAATTTAAATCGTACACTACATAGCCTAGGCGTTTTTCACTTAACTGTTAAAAAAATTAACTTTCAGCTGAACACAACAATTTTGTCTAAGAAAAAAACAAAAAACAACACACTGATGATGACATTGTGCTAATGTCAGAAGTACTCGGAATGAATGAATATGTATCAACATGGCAATTTTCTCTCTTCCTTTAATAAAGATACTAAGAAGCTTGCCCGTGAATATGAAGGATCCTATTGAAAATAAGTAGATAAAACTTGTCTAAATTATTCAATGAGACATGTGTTAATGAAAACATGTTGCCAAAATATATGTAATTCATAAATTTATATATATATATACATATATAAAGGAAAAAGGCAATAGGAAAACTGTAGTTTTAGGCAATGCGTTTTGTCCAATGTGGACTTTTTCAAGGCAAAAAACGAAATGAATTTATTGAAAGAAAGTATCTATAAATAACAAACAAAATGTCGCTAGCAAATAGAGGAATTTAGAAACGCTATTGTATGTTCATATGGTCAACTGAAAAGTAACGTCAATTACTTTGTTTGAAGAGAATATTTTCACATGTAGAAATATTGTTTGTATTGTTGTGTCGACGGATTCAACCATTTTTTTTTCATTTCTTGACATATTTGTTGTGTACGTTAATTCTGAGAAATTTTACACACACACACACACACACACATATATATATATATATATATATATATATATATATATATATATATATATATGAGGAGTAATGGATAGCGGCTTGAATTGAGGAATCGGAATCCATTACATTCATTTACGTGCTAATACCCTTAAAGGTCCATCCAGCTATGGGTAAATAGCAGGACAGATTGGGTTCTATAGCCCTTGATTGCAACTGGTCTAGGAGAAGGACAACTTTGAATTCAAAACCTGAGGAGGGTCGTTTGGGGACCTTGTGGCACGTAGTGCACCAGGCCTCTGTATTCGGCTATTTTATGGATGGTTCGACACAAAGCTTCACAACTATAATCAAATCACATGTGCTGGTGTCGGGCTGTCGGTTCCTAGGAAATGAGCTGCTTGACCCTCATACGTTGAATACGACGGGAGAGTCGAATCTATCTATCTATCTATCTATCTATCTATCTATCTATCTATCTATCTATCTATCTATCTATGGGTACGTATATGTGAAGAGATGCGAGCTCAATGGTTTAGCTGTCAGAATAGAAAAGCCAGTGTTTATAGTGTTGAAATCTTGTGCAGAACCATCCGCACTTTCCGGAAGAAATGAATACAGAAAACTGCTGCGTATAATATAGCACAAGGTTCTCAAACATCTCTCCTCGTGTTTTGAATTCAAATATGTCCTTCTCCTAGACTAGAGTCCAACAAAGACGAAAGAGCTTATTCTGCCATACTATTTAACCCATAACTGGGGGAATAAATGAGTTAATACCTTTCCTTGGCTCGCCGATTTTGTGTTCTGAACTGTTAACCATTTTATCTATCTATCTATCTATCTATCTATCTATCTATCTATCTATCTATCTATCTATCTATCTAAACGAGATTTGTGTGTGTATTCGTATATATTTATTTGTATGCTAACTCGTTTTGATATTTATATAAAATCTAAACTCAAATACTTGGTCATTATTCGAGCTTGTCTCCGTAAATGCCGGTGGCTTTTTTTTTTTTTTTTTTAAATATCTATAAGTCTCACCATCAAAGCATTGATCTACGGCACTCTGCGTCGGATCGGTGTAGTATCTGTGAGCGTTGAGAAATTTTACAGCTTACAAGAATTCTGTTTTTATGGTAACGCGTGGCATCCACGTTAACATAACGATGGAATATCCCATTACAAATAGAAGAGATCAGTTGCGAAACCAATAAATATACAATGTCACCTTGTGTTTTCTTTAATATAGTAGATGTTGTTAGTTTGAAGAGAAAAAAGACCTCTTCGTTAACTGCAAGTCTTCGAACATCGACATTATTGTGTTTCGGCTGAGCGAAGCAAAACGCCTTGCCAGTTAAAAGAGCAGCTCCTATTACACACAGTTTTGGAAAACAATGTCTTTGTTTGGAATTAGCGATTCGTTTTGCCTAGTTAGTAAATCGACATGTTTTGTCTGGCCGAAACAATGAGAGTTAAGGATAACTCAGTAGCCATGACGAACGGGAGACAAGATGGCGCTTCAGGCTACCACTGGCCGCCATTGGATAGCGAGGCGAAGAGAAGCCGGATATATTACTTGCGAAAAATGTAGCGGATCTCATACGACGCCAGCAACCCCCGTCTCAAAGAAGAGTGAGAACAAACAAATACACATAGAAAGATTATACACATGCGCACGCACAAGCACACAGACATGCATCGAAATACTGATGCATACACACACTCACGCACGTACACATACATAATGACTCGTATCACTCACATGTAAATACAATACACATATAAAAATACCAATAGACATGTACATGTATTCGTGCTTATACATGCACACTCACACTCTTGTACACACACACACACACACACACACACACACACACACACACACACACACACACACACACACACACACACATATTTTGGCACACACGCACCTCCACTATATATTTACAAAGCTTGCTTTAGTTTGGAACACGGCAATTTAGGAGAATTGGATTAGAAAGATTATGCTGCGTCAAACCTTCAAGTAAAATGCGTCTACCTCAAAATCCTGATTCATGGAGTATTGTCTTACCTATTTTCTTTCTCATTGTTTTCGTTCATTACATTTTTTATATTTATCACGTTTTCTTTTTTTTTCTTTTTCTTTCTTTCTTTCTTTCTTTCTTTTTTCTTTCTTTCTATTTAGTATAATTTCTTTCCTTTCTCCTCTTGCACTTCTATAGTAAATACGTTTTCTGTATTTTTTCTTTTTCTCATTCTTTTTTTAGTTAAATCATTTCTTTGGTTTTTCTTTCTTTCGATTTAATACATTTTCTTTCCTTCCTCTTTTAGCTCTTTCATAATAAATACGTTTTCTGCCATTTTCTTCTTTCTTTCTTAGTTAAAAACATTTCTTTTTTTTCTATTTAAAACGTTTTCATTCATTCTTTCTTTCTTTCTGTCTTTTATAATACGTTTTTCTTTTTTTCACAATTCTTGTTTTTTTCTGATTTGATACGTTTTCTCTTTTCTTTTTAAGTTCCTTCCTTCCTTCCTTCCTTCCTTCCTTCCTTCCTTCCTTCCCAAGATGTTCAAACACCTACTCAGTTATCCTTGGCGCTCCAATGTAAACCGATCATGGATTATAGCCTGTTCAAATTCCAACCGCTTGGGGCGACACTTGACAACGGTCGCGACAATAAGAGTCTTCATAGGAAGATGGATTGCATCTGGCAATACTGACGAGAAAGGCTTTCCGGAAGATTCATGCTTGACAATTAGATTAGATAAGAGATATTAGAGATTTGAGAGCCAAAAACCGTACGATAAAAAAGAAGGAAAATAGAAATAGACAGAGAGAGAAAAGGAAGTGCTTTTAATATTCCATGTTATATTTAAATAGATATTTCAAGATGTTGAAACTCAGAGAACTGCCATGTATGTGTCCCACACGCACATGCACACACACACATACATATGCATAGACATATAGAAAAGCGAGAAGAATCAGAGAAAAAACAGTAAAACAAACGCACACATGCAAACACTCATACATCAATATAAACGTACTTGTAGTTAGCAAAAATATAACTTTTACAAAGTTTAAAAGGCTCAATACAATACAGTGTAGAATCCATAAATATACCATACCTTAAAACTATATTCTATCATATATATAAATATATATATATATATATATGTGTGTGTGTGTGTGTGTGTGTGTGTGTCCAGTCCTGAGTGATCATAATGATAGGTAGAAGTTTGTTTTTTTCTGCAAGGGATATATCAGTAAACATTACGTGAGGAATATAACGTGAACGCCTTTTTATATAATTTTTAACTCCACAGTAATCTTTAAAATTTAGTAAAATATTCTCTGCAATCTAATGTTTTATTGAATTTTAATTACTTTGGCTTTAAATTTACTATAGTCAACGCTCTTATTTTCTGATAATGTCGTGTGTGCACGTAGGAATTTACAAAAATTGGCAAGTTTACACACATACGCACAAATAAAAATTATTTTAAAATATTGGGAATCGCTGAATTGTAGTAAGCCTTTCCATTTATGATTAGTAAATATAGTTTTTACTTAATAACAATATCAGCTAACCCGTACAAATTAATACAGAATTGTAAATGATTTAAAACTTTATAAATTATTCCAAGTAAAATTGTAAAAAAATGAAACAATTCCTGTAAAAAATTCATTATTCATCGAAAAACATTTTTTCTTAAGAGAATGTATTATAGTGTCTATAATATATCTTATAAAAACAATTAAAAGTTTTTCCAATTAAATAATGTCTCAGTTTTATAGCATTTTATATTTTAAGATCCATGTAGGTTATGCGTTGTTTTCCTCTGTCCCTCTTGCCTTCAATCTGTACTGTGAGTATCAAATTTACGGAGCCCACTTTCTTCATTATGCGCCCCCAACAACTCTCGCTTCCAGATGGTAAGTAGAAGTGGCCTTTCTGTTTCTATTTTCTCTAGAACTTCTCCGTCTGTGAGGAGATTGTCCTGCATTCACCACCACATAGGTGGACTAATATTACATAACAGTTCAGTAGTCTTTTCTTTGTTTCTAACGAAAATCTTCTGTTTCTAAATACTTTGCTTAGCTTTTAGAAGGCAACTTTTGCAGAGGAAAAAACTGAAAGAGCTCCTAGGCAAGGCAGCAGATGTTTAAAATCAGAGTTTTCCTTCTCTTAGGTGGTCTACCTCCCAGGCTGACGAGTTCCATCTATTCGAATTATATATATATATATATATATATATATATATACACGCATAAACACACATATATTTTACACTGGATGTCGGAGTAAACAGGTTGTCATTAAAAGCACTTTAAGAATTCTTATTATATAGATTTTAAACGATAATAGTAGAAATCAATAAATAAATAAGAAAAGAATAAAAATATAAAATTATCATCCTTCCTTCCTTCCTTCCTTCCTTCCTTCCTTCCTTCCTTCCCAAGATTTTCAAACACCTACTCAGTTATCCTTGGCGCTCCAATGTAAACCGATCATGGATTATAGCCTGTTCAAATTCCAACCGCTTGGGGTGACACTTGACAACGGTGAATATGTGAATTTTGTTTTTGTTAAAAATATTTAAAAGAAATAATAGAATAAATTTATTATTCTGAACCAATAATAAAAGTATTTTCAAATTTGTTGGAAAAGAGTCGTTATTTTGTGTTTTTTTACTACTTTTATTATTGTGACTAGAATACGTTAAACATATTAATATCTATCTATCTATCTATCTATCTATCTATCTATCTATCTCGAGACATTCCTATTCCAAGGTTGGGGTAAAGCCTATTCGATATCCTTCCATAACGGGTGTGACTATACTATTTGCCACCATGTCTTAACAATAAACCTGATCTCTCAATTTTATGCTTGATAGTTTCCTAGTGTCTTTTCTATATATCGGACACAAATCAACTACATATATTTGTTTATATACGGGTGTATATAAACAAACTTCCAGATAAATAAGAACCCTCTTTATACATTTGCTTCTTTTATCATTTTACGTTATAATCATAGCTTGGTTAAATTATCCGCTTTTGCTACCAATACATTTGTGCAAAACATTCGATATTATAAACAAAATTGACACCTGTACGCAGTACTTTAGCTACAAGTTATTAGGTGGAATCATAAAAAAATCCGTTTTTGTTTAGCAACTTCATCTTTATCAAATAGAATACCATTACATTTTATTCAATTATATATTCACCATTATTGGCGATGACTTGCAGCTCTTCGACACCTTTCGAATAAAAATCCGCATGTTTTGGTGTGAAAAGGTTTTCGAAGAACTCTTTAACCTTCGGAGAAATTTGTCTCCATCAGCGCCTTTTAGTAGCAATCAAAAATGGTAATATTCGGTTGGTGTAATCTCAGGTGTATATAGTCGAAGAACTTGTGTACACATTGTGCTACAAGATCTCCAAGCGATCCTCCTCGAATTTTGAATTTAGAATTGTACATCTAGACTAGATGCCAATTAAAGGTTAAAGAATTCAGTCTACCATATTACTTAATCTATAACTAGGGCCAGACGAAGAGATGAATTCTATCTTTCACAGGGGTATTTACGCATAAGTTTAAAAAAAATGTAAAAAAATAAACATGATTACAATTCGAACTCGGCTCTCCGATTTCGCATTTCGAGCCGTAATTCATTGAACCACCTGCACATCTTCTCGTAGCTCAACTGTAAAGCATTGTTTGCTTGAAATCGGCTTTCAAGATTAAAAAGGAAATACAGGTTTTGATTCTTGGCTGGAGGTTTATTATCCTTATTAAGACCATCTATTTTTAAGCCGCTAAAAAACTTAATATAATGTTTATAGTTATACGAAATATATCATTTATAGTAATAAGAAAGGTAAACACATACATAAATACACAAACACACACGCACACACATAGGCACACGCACAGACATACAGATATAGTTCTATCGGGGCATACTGAGAATATCATGGAATCGACATGTGGCTAACGAGGAAGTTTTAAGGTATTAAGGTAATTCTTCAATCCCGTTTGTCCTTTCGTCAATCCTCCATATTTTCAATATTCTCTTTCACTTTCACTCCCTAGAACGCCTGCGCATTAGTGACATTTCCGTCTTGTTTGGGGTGGAATGATTAAAAAACAACAACAAAAACAAACATAAGAAGCAAACACAATATTTTTTTGTTAAATGTATTCACAGTTAATTTAGGTGATCGGTCATTACGAAGACAAATTTTTGTTAATGATTTGTCTTCGCCATTTTTCTATCGCTAATTAGTACTCTTATTTATTTTCATTTCCCATAGTTTTAATGGATTTTAAAAATTATTTTAATTCTTAATTTTTTGTTATTATTTTTAATTTTACTTATTTTTGCAAAATATAAAAATAGAAAAAGGCATGAGACAAGGATGTGTCTTATCACCAGATTTATTCAATCTCTAAATCTACGCTATTCTAAGGGAACTGGAAATCCTATCAAGATTTATAATCGGTGGACATAATATTAATAATATAAAATACGCAGTTGACACTGTGTTGATTGCTGACTCGGTAAGAAAACTACAGGACCGTCTAGACATGGTAGTAGAAGAAATCGAGAAAAAAGTACTGACACTTAGTGACAAAAAAGACAGAAAGTTTGGTCATCAGCAAGAGTAAAACCCAAGATGTAAGTTACAAATTGGAGATGTCAACATCAAGCAGGTGCAGAAGTTTAAATATGTGGAAAGTGTTTCAATGGAGAATGAAAAACGCGACACTGAGGCCCGAACGTACATTGGACTGGCGAAAGAATTATCACAATAGTTAAGCTCAGAAACGAAAAACCATCGTTAAAAACAAAGTGTTATCCATTCTCTTATATAACAGTGAATGCTGGACAATCTCTCCACAGATGAGGAGAAAACTAGAGGCAGGAAAAGTGTGATTCTACAGAAGGATACTGAGAATTATATGGACGAGGCGAGCAAGCAACAAGGAAGTCTGAAAGAAAATGGCAACAAAAATAACACTTATACTCAGAATCAGGAAAACACATTGGGCAATTTATA